GTGTGTTGTTTTATTTTTTGAGACAGGATTTCTTCGTGTAACAGCTCTGGCTATCCTGGAACTCTATTTGTAAAGCAGGCTGGGCTCACAGATCCACCTGCCTCTCGTGAGCTGCCAGTGCCTGCCACAACTTGCTTTTAATATGTTTGTCTGTCCTCACTTTCCTAATATGTCTTATTCTCTTAGTTTTCATGTCAACTCTTCTTTGGGAACATTACACACCTCATGCTTCATAATTTAAAAAAAAATTTGTTTAGGGACTATAGGTGTTAGCTCTGGTAGAAATCCTGTTAATCATGACCAAGGCACTATGGCTTGATCCCTAGTACCAAAACCAAAAAAAGTTGAGATAGAAACCTTTTTTTTTGTTGTTGTTTTGTTTTGTTTGTTTTTTTGAGACAGGGTTTCTCTGTAGCTTTGGAGCCTGTCCTGGAACTAGCTCTTGTAGACCAGGCTGGTCTCGAACTCACAGAGATCTGCCTGCCTCTGCCTTCCAAGTGCTGGGATTAAAGGCTGCCAGGCGAGATAAAAATTTTGACTTATTCACAAGCTATTGAGTAATAAGTGAGAGGTAAACAATGTATATTGTGGAATTATGTATTAAATTAAAAAATCATTGATGAATAAGAAAAAAGGGCATGTTTGCTTTAAGGTATGCCAAGGAGAGGGTTTATTATAGATTTGGTGAATCTGGAAAGGTCCAGACTGAACATGACAAGCAGATTGAACCAGACTGTGAGATAGAAGAGGGGTGGTAAGAGAGGAAGAGAAAGGAGGGGCAAACAAACCAAGAGATCAAGGAGCAGAGGCAGCCAAGAAACCAAGGTGAGGGGCATACAGCCAAAATTACCTGAGTTACCTAGGGAAGAGAAGACGGAGAAAGGGAAACCCAGCCCCTGGAAGGGAGAGATTTAGGATAGGGGGCTGAGACTTAACTGGGAGGAGCCACAGGTACTAAGACTAGTCCTAGCTTTCTTTGTAACTTAACAAATGGTAGCTGCTAAACTTTAAAAAATCTGTATTTCATACAACTTGTGGAGAATCAAATTCTTTTCTTCCCTCAGTTTGCTGTGTACTTTCTCTTCCTCTCAGATTATCTTCCTCTCATTACGTAGTTGAGGCTGGCATAGAATTTGCTGTCTAGTCCATTGTGGTCTCCAGCTTCCCAAGTGTTTAGGATTATAAATTAGAACTACCATACCCATCTTAAGTTAATAATTTCTTTATTTTTTACTTTTTTTTTTTTTTTTTTTTTTCAAGACAGGGTTTCTCTCTGTAACAGCCCTGGCTGCCTGGAACCTGCTTTGTAGACCAGGCTGGGATTAAAGGCATTTGTCACCAGTGCACGGTTTAAATTGATAGCTTCTTTATTCTAGGGGTGGAGGTATGTAACTCTGTGGTAGAGTGTTACTGCTCTACTTGGTAGCATGAACCTTGAGAATGTAACCTAAAAATAGTGGACTAAAGTCTCATGTAATAACCAACTTTGTTCATCAGTTAGTTTATATTTTGAGGATATTTGAAGGGTTAAGCAACATCATGTGAGCAAAGTTCACATGAGTTCAAGCTGTATGTAGTTACTAGGATAACCCCTGCTTGGAAACATCAAATAATAGCAACATTATGGGTAATCTGAAGTAAACCCACTTTGATTTACCACACCCGGGAGGGGTATGAAAGCGCATTCCAAAAACAACTCATGGATTGGAGGAACAGAGGTCTTTTCTACAAGCTCTCTGAATTGGCACACAGCTTCCTTCATAGACCTGTGTTCTGAGAGTTAAGAGCACTTGCAACTTTTCCAGACGACCTGGTTTCAATTCCCAGTACCTACATGATATCATACTCTGTAACTCCAGTTCCAGGGGATCCAATAGCCTCTTTTGACCCCCATAGGTACCAGACAAGCAAGTAGTGCACAGGCATTTACATACTTGTAACTCCCATACTCATAACAACAAATACATTATGTATGGGCTAGTAGTGCATCTCATCTGGGTAGAGTGCTTATTCTAGCGTGTGCAGTAGCCTTCCTTTGATCTTCAATACTGTGTGTGGATGGTGGCATAAAATCACTGCACTTAGTAGGCTGAGGCAGAAAGATTGCCACAAGTTTGAGGTTGACCTGAGTTGCATAGGGAGACTGAGAAAACAGTAATAACACAGATTGCTACTTCACACTCAGCATTGCAGTGTCAAGGCTTTCTGTACTGTGCTGTGTTTTTGTTATTTTGTTTTTCATTCCTGAAACTGTATTAGAAGTGTGTTAACCCATTTTGGGGGTGAGGGAAGGGGTAGTGTTGGGCTTTGTTACAGCCTAGCACATATTCTGTATGCCTGTTCCCAGCCTAGGGAATTAGAGGCCAGGGAGATTAGAGGACAACTTTTCTTAGTGTGTGGGTTGTTGGTTCTTTTTTTTTTAAATACTTTTTTTTATGATTTATTTGACTTTATTTTATGTGCATTGGTGTGAAGGTGTCAGGTCCCTTGGTACTGGAGTTCCAGACAGCTGTGAGCTGCCATGTGGGTGCTGGGAATTGAACCTAGGTTCTTTCCGAAGAACAGTCAGTGCTCCTAACCGCCGAGCCATCTCCTACCATATGGGTTCAAGAAAGTGTCAACTCCCTTTGCTTACTGAACCATGTGGCCTACCATTTCCTTTCTCCTCCCGGTCTTCCTTCTATTTCCTTCTTTTGAGACAAGGTCTTGTGTAGTCTAGGTTGGCCTCAGATATGCTATGTAGCTGAGGATGATACTCAATTTCTGATCCTTCTTCCACCTCCTTAGTTTGTGATCACACTCAGCCAGGATTTCATGCCTTCTAGCCACTCTTAACCAAATGATTCTGGACTTTCTCATTAGCAGTAATGTTCATTTAATTATCTTCATACAGATTATCTTCAGCGTTCTATGGTGCTTTGCTTTTTTGTTTGTTTGTTTTGTTTCTTTTCTTTTCGAGATAGGATTTCTCTGTAGCTTTGGAGCCTGTCCTGGAACTAGCTCTTGTAGACCAGGCTGGTCTCGAACTCACAGAGATCCTCCTGCCTGTGCCTCCCAAGTGCTAGGATTAAAGGCATGTGCTACCACCGCCCAGCTGCTATGCTGTGTTTTAATAGTTATATTGCTTACTAGGAGCTCTGTCTTTTGCTCATCTCCCCTCCCTCCGCCTTAAGTTTTGAGACTGGGTTTTCCTTACTGTCTTTGGGGCTTGTTATGTAGCTTCATACTTAGAGAGGTGCCTGCCTCTGCCTCCCTAGTCCTGCAATTAAAGGTGTCCAACACCGTGCCTGGCCATCAATTTTGTACTTATGCATTAATAATGCTTTGTGGATCAAAGTAGTATCAGAAAACCCAAGACTAGAACTCCTACCTCCTACTGAACTGGTAGAAGAAGGTTTCAGAGTTTCAATGAGGGTAACAGCTTTGCAGTTACCCTCATTCAAGTTGCAATGATAAAATACTGCCCTTCAGGGGTTTGTGTAAATGCTACAGCCTCTGATTGTTGCTCTCTTCATTGGTAAAATGTTGGTTTTCCTTCTTAGACATTATGTTTCCATTATTAGTCTGGCAGCCTCCACTGAGAAGTAAATTATAAAACAAGGCTTTGTAGCTGGATGGTGGTGGCAGCGCAGATACTGGATTAAGGAATCCCAGTACTGGGAAGTGCTAATTTTCTAAGATACAGGAAGATGGTTCTTGTGTATATTTATCATTAATAAACTTTTGAACAAAAATATTTTGAAAATAATGAGCTACTGTCATCTCAGATAGAAAGAAGTTATGAAAGAAACCATTACTTTTTAGGATGCATAAAAGTCATGTTTTTTCATCCTGTGCTTTTATTAAAATACTACAAGTGATAAAAATTAAAAACGTGAATTTCAAGTTATATAGTGTTTCTATACTGAAAATATATATCATATAAAAAAATAAAACTGGTTGATGGTTTTTTAGAGGTGAAAGAAGATGCTAAAGACCTTAGGCAGTTCCAACCTTTTAGAAAGTGCTTATAAAAGCCATAACATTTATTACTGAGTCTTTTGTGAGACTATCATAAATGTAGGCATGTTACTTACATTAAAATATGGAATTCAAATAAAAAAAACCTTGTACATTAGGAGTTTAGTTTTAAGTTGAGGAAACTGGCAAATTATGAGCGTTCAATATGTAGACTAGTAAACTAACAAGGGAATCATAAGGCGGTAAGTGGAGAGAGCTTGTTTGCAGGCAGATAAGGTGTAGAGCCTTTAAAAGAGAATGCTGACGTAATCACATTGGGTGTTTTTCTGAATTATTTAAGGTTACCATGGCTCTTGAGGATGGTTGTCACAAGATTATGAAAATACTTGGAGAAGCATTAAGTGCAAAACAAATAGATTTAGATAAGTTTAAAGTAGGTTTGTTATAGTCAGAAGATAGTTGTTGAAGTAAATAAAGCAGAAAAATAAGGCATTATAATGAAGCAGGAAAATAAAGTAAAGGCATTAGCAGATTCTAGTAAAAATTTAGGGTTTTATCATGGAAAGGAATGCCTTACCTAGAGTGTTCATCATTGAATGATGGTAGTGGATGGTGTAGTAATTTAATCAATATCTAGAGTTGTTATGATTAATTCAAATGAGAGCTTATGGCCTAAATGACTTTTACTAAACCATAGACTTTGTGATTGAGCAGAGATAGTGTAGAGGCAGTGTCTTAGCAGCCAACTGCAGATGAATAGCAATTCACGGAATTGACCATAAAGATAATTTGTCTTTAATAAAATTCTTATAAGGTCAACAAACAATTGTGCTCTTGTTCAGATTGATACTATTTTATTAAAACTATTGAAGTTAAAATGTGTTTGCTTGAAAATTTTTTTAGGTTTTAGAAAAGCATTGACTTATTTACAAAAGCTGATAAATATGAAAAGTGGGTTTTAGTTTTTTATTAGGTAATATTTTAAAATAGGCTTTCTTCTTGCTGGTATAACTAACATTTATTTTCTGTTTATTTTTAAGACGAGCAAAAATCAAATTAAAGTAGATCTTGTAGATGAGAATTTTACAGAATTAAGAGGAGAAATAGCAGGACCTCCAGACACACCATATGAAGGCAAGTACTTTTTTCTGTATCAAAATATTGTGTGTATTAGAGCTTGTCTGAAAGATTGAGTCAGAGTTATCTTGAGCATCTATCTATAAAATTCATGAAAGCTAATTTTATTTGGCTTAGGGTAAGCTGCAGTTTATAAAATGATAAATTTTTACACTTCACTAATTTTTTTTTTATTGAACTTTAGCTAATTTTTAACAAAATTCTTAAATACATTTCATAGAGCCAGGTTACAGGTTACATAGGCTATAATTTAACATTCCATTTGTCTTATTCTCTTCTACCATGTCGAAAAGCGTAAAGCTTCTTTCTTTATCTTGTTTTCAATTCTGTTTTAAAGTAGTCACACATTTTATAGCATGGTAGGATTAAATATAAAATGTTAAGCCTTGAACTTAGATATACTCAGATACCCTTGATGTGACTAGTAACAAACCTTGTTATAACATTTTGACTAATAAGATGTTGGTTTTACTTTTAAAAGTTTCTTCTCTCTTTCATTTATTTCATTTGCTCTCATTATTATATAGGTTTTCAGATAGTGTTCTTTACTTATGATTATTTTAAAACATACAAAAATAAGAAAATAGCTTTGCTGATTTTCATATTCATGTCTTTTAGCTTTTTACTTTAGAACCTGGAATTAAGTTTATGATAAAGGATGAAACTGTAGTATTTGGATTAGTCAAATCTTCATTAATTGGAAATTTGGGTCATGTAGGATAACCATGACTTTTACAATTTGCTTAATAACTATTCAAATATTTGTTTAATAGAAAGCATATGGCCTTATGTGGTAGATCTTTCTTGTAAGATCATTACATGTATTTTATCATTCAGTTTTCACCTAATTTTAGACGGTAAGTATAATAATTCCTGTTTAATAGACATACTTGTGTTAGATATAAGTCATTTGTCTAAGGCCACACTTCTTAAGTGAGAAAGCTGAGATTTAGCTTGCCTTTAACTTCAAAGCATATGCTTTTAAATAACTTTTTGCTTTTGATTAAATCAGGATTCATCAAGTATTAGAAGTGGTGCTTATGGCTTCTTTAAATGTAATACTCTCAGTAATCTGTTGTGAAGTTCAGGAAAACCCAATATTGTTGGCAAATTTTGTTTTCATTCAAGACCTTAAAAGATCCTATAGTATTGTTATAAATTCTTTCTTGTTGTTTTTGAAACAGGGATTTTCTTTGTAGCTTAACTCTCAGCAGGTTCTCCTTTTCAGTTTGTAAGTGTTGGGATTGTAGATGTGAGCCACCCTTGTCTGGCTTTCCCCGTACTCTCTCCCTATTCACCTCTGATTCTTTGAGACAGGTTCTCTTGTGACCTAAACTGTTCTCAGACTGGCAATTGTGTGGTTGAGCTTTGTTCTGAGTTCCTGCTCCTCCTGATTCCACTTTCCAGCACAACTCATATGCCTCAGGCACCAATTTTGAAGTGCAAACTAATATTATACTAAGAGTATTCCATACTAGTAGTATGTCTGGCTTGTACATGTTTGTCATGTTCTCTCCACGTCCCAGGGTCTCTCACTATGTAGCTGTGACTCCCATGGAACTCACTATGTAGACCAGACTGGATTTGAACTCACAGAAATCTGCCTGCCTCTGCCCCACACAGTATGGGGATTAAAACCATGCACCACCATACCTAGCTCATTTAGCTTTTTTGACATCCATTAGAAGATTTTAATTATCTTACAAAAATCAAATGTTTTAGTAGTTTTGATCTCCTAGCTTATTTAATGACAGGTATTATAATTGTGTTTTGTTTTTCTCTTTATTTTTTTGTGGTGCTTAGGATCAAATTCAAGGCCTTGTGCATGTTCTCAAGCAGGTATAAACTGAGCTATATCCCTAGCCTCATAATTCTTCCTGAAGTGCTTTTTGAGATTGTTCAGATATTTTTAAAATGCAAGAAATAATATTATTATTCTAGAACTCTGCAGCAAGCTTATATACACAAGGACCTCTTAAGCTCAGTGAAAAGAATGTTACCTTATTAGCCATGTTTCATAAGTAAATGAACTTGTAAAAAGTAGATAATATATAATTTTTCTTAATTGAGATAAAACATTATATATTTATTAGAAACAAGTTGCTTATTTCTATAGGTGCTTCAAAATAAGACAGTATTTTTAATTGCTTTCCTAAGATTTGGGGACATGTGCTTGTTGTAAAAATGTTACAGCAATGTTTGAAAAAAAAAAGTACTATTTAAGTAATAAACTTTTCTTTCTGAATATAAGCACAGGTGAAAGGTTGGTCTACTGCAGAAGGCTTGCTGTTTTGTTTTTGAGGCTGTGGGTCTTTTTTTTAAATTGAAATTGTTTGTTTGTATTTTCCTTTTGCTGTTTTTTTTTTTTTTAAACTGAGATAGACATTCAGCCTGCTTTTGTTTTTGGCCTAACTTAAAGCTAAATAAAAGTTTATCTCTAAAATATTCATCTGTATTATCATTAAAAAGCAATTTTACATAGAAATTTAAAAAAACCAGATTGTCAAGGAAAATAAACATGGAAAATTCTCATACTGCATTTTACTTACTCGGTTCTCTTAATTTCCTTTCCTAAATAATTTAGTGGTAAAGAACTAAGTTATTTAGTTATTTTTGTCTAGAAGTTCTTTCAAATTTGTTGAATTTAAATGGGCAGTTCAGTAATTCTTATCCACTTTTTCCTTCTCTTTGGAGGATGTTAAAGTTCACAGTTGTTTCTCTGGATATAAGGGGCTCATACTTGTATCCCTAGCATTGGGGAGGCTGAGAATTGCTCTGAATTCAGGGACACCCTAGGGCACTTAAGTCCCAAAGTCCCAGATATAACTAGTCTACAGAGGATGTGTTTCATCAACTTACCCCCACCTCACGAGATAAAAGAAAAAGTTGCTAAATGCTTTATGATTGGAAGCTATTAACGAGCGTAGTAGCATGCCTGTAGTTAGCTATTTAGGAGAGTAGAAGTAGAGGAAGAGTGACTTGAGTCTATCAGTTTAAGGCTAGCCTATGTAATATAATAAGACTTATCTCTAAAATAAAGTGGCATAAAACATAAATAGAATAAAAATTATTCTTCAAAAGGTAAATAAATTATATTGAAGATTGTTGTGTATAATGCTTATAAAAGTCCCTTAGATACTCAGTGATGGGGCCATTTGTACGACTGTGGGCCCTTGAGATTACATTACCCAGAGTCTTTTAGGTGCTTTAATGGGTTATGATGTTTGCATAGGTTAGGTCACGTAATGATGTATTTCTCATATCCATTGTCAATCAGAAATTATTGTATGTCATGACTGATCTTACAGTGATTTTGTATGAAAATTGTTATATAAGACAAACCAATGTAAAATGGAGCAGAAATACCTCCATAATCTAACAGTATTTATGTAAGATATCTGTAGCTCTTAGACTACTCCTAAAATTGTTTTAATCATCTAAGAAGAAAGAAGTTTGTGACAGGTCATAAAGCCGACACTTGGGAGTTTAGTCAGAATAACAAGAGGATCTTCTGTGAAGAGAAGGACCTGTGTGGACCCTACACCTTGTGTGTGCTGGAGCCACTTACTCATGTGGAGTATAGTCTGTGGTTTTGTTCTCACGTTTAGTAAACTGCTACAAAAGAAAAAGATGAGTCTACATATTTTTCAAGCCAATTGTATTATACCTGTATTTGGAGTTGTTACTTAATTCTTAGTATAAATGGTCATCTCCATATTTACAAAATTCTTTTTAGTACTCTTTTCTTGCCTGTCTTTTCTTTTGTTGTGTCTACTTTTCTTTATAATACACTTTTACTATATGTTCTTGATTCAGAGTTCTTGTTCAATTCATATATCATTTAACAGAGGGGACTCTACCAAAATAAATTGTAAGATATAAAGAATTGGAATCAAAGCTTTTGAAGATGGAGAATGATGTTGCATTTCTGTAATCCCTGCACTTGGAAGGCTGAGACAGGAGAACTACAGGTTTGAGGCCAGCCAGGACTAGATAGTGGACCTTGGGATTTGTGAGGGACAACAGGTGTGTGTTGCTTAAAGAATCTAGTATCAGTGAAATGCTCTTTTATTTTTTTTGAGATTCACATGCATACATTCATAACAGTGGAGAAAGGTAGATTTGGTAGGACCCCTGATATACTGACAACAGTTCTCTACTTAAATTTTTCAAGAACTGAATATTTAATGTTAATAATGCCAGTAGCACACTTCTGTGTTACTTTTCACATGCATATGAAGGAATAATATTGTAACGAGACATCTAACTTACGTAACTAATTCGTTCTTTTTTTAAAATCTAGTTCATTTTCTGATTATTAGAAAAATCTATTAGTTTCATGTGTATTTGAATAGCACCCTTTTATTTCCTTTTTTGAAAATTTATTTTTATTTTATGAGCATTAGTGTTTTGACTGCATATATGTCTGTGTGAGGGGGTAGGGTTCTCCCTAAAACTGAAGTTACAGATAGTTGTGAACTGCCATGTGAGTGCTGGGAACTGAACCTGGCTCCTTTGGTAGAGCAGTTGGTGCTCTTATCCACTGAGCCATCTCTCCAGTCTCTTATTACCTGTTTTTTAATAGTGAATCTTTCATGTTAGTGGGTCATGAAATCTAGAACTGGGAGGTTAATTAGATGCAGAATTTTGAGGGGAAGAAGAGAGAGAGAGAGACAGACAGAGAAAGGAGGAGGAGGAGAGAAGAGGAGTCTTTAAGGCATGCTAGCTTTGGATGCTCTCTCTGCTCTGTAGGTCAGCAGGGTTTTGAATCAGGAGATCTTCTAGTCTCCCCATACCATGTACTATAGCATTGTAGGATTGTGCTGCACACCCAGTTAAGAGATGATATTCTTTGCCAGTCTCATCTCTTGCAAGACTTTCTACTTGGTCATGATTCACTTTGAATACTTCATTTTTGAGAACCTAGCTACATTTTTCTTATTTTTAGAATTTTTAGAAATGTCTGTTTAACTTGTGGTTGGTAAAGGTAACATCAGAACCAAACAGAATATTGCTTTTGGTTTATATAAATTTTTGCCAGTTAGTACTTTGTGGAATACTCTATATAGTACTTTGTTAGAAGAAGATAGTGTTATTTCTTTTGCCTGTTTTATGTTTTGTTCTTTGACTTTATTTTGAAATTTTAAACAAAATATTGACATCTAATTTAGGGAGAAAAGTTGATTCTTTTGTTCGAGACAGGTTTTATGTAACCCAAGCTAGTCTTGAACTTCTCTATGAAGCCAAGGTTGGCCTTGAGTTCCTGGTACATCATCCGGGGGGGCCCGCCCCCGCAAAAACAAGACAAAACAAAACAACCCAGGGCTTTTCTGTGTAGTATCGGCTGTCCTGGAACTCACTCTGTAGACCAGGTTGGCCTCAAACTCACAGAAATCCCTTTTCTCTGCCTCACGAGTGCTGGGATTAAAGGGGTGTGCTATCTCCCCTACTTCCCCCCCACGCGGTGGTTTTCTTCTTTCTATACTATCCAAGTTCTGGGGTTACAGGTAGGGGACACCGTGCCTGTCTAAGGGGCATGAATGGGAAGACTGAAACTCTGGGGGAGACCTAGCTAAGAGAGCTTCCCTTTGCTAATGCTCTATCTCTGTTTTGTCTCCATACTGTGTGTGCTATAATTCCTTCTGCGCCCCCACACCTGTTTCCTGCTAATACCTCTTACCAGGTGAACTAGAGAACACACGACCTCTGAACCTTATGCTACTAGTTAATAATGAAATATTTGACATTGGTTTGTCTATAGAGTTAATGTATTTTGGTTCTCTACTTTTATTACTGCTAATTAATATAATATATATACAGTGGACATTTTATGCTTTAAGTATTATAAAATCATGAGTGATTATTTTTGGAATTTTAATTTTCTCAGCACTCAATACAAAATGATACTTATTTTGAAACAGTCTTTCATTGTATTTGATTTCACATATTAGAGTTGATCAGCATTCTCAAATTTGTTTTTTTCCATTTTTTTAGGTGGACGATATCAACTAGAGATAAAAATACCAGAAACATATCCATTTAATCCCCCTAAGGTATGGTAAACCTGTTTTTTATGCATGTAGTTTTAAAATATTTTGTATTTCTTGACTCACCTTATTAATAGATAAATATCAGTATATTTTAGTACTTTATTAAAGTTACAACATTCAGAGTAAAATGTGAATAAATTTAATGGACAAGATTTCAGGCACTGGTCAATGGTTTACTTCTAAAGTTATAATGAGAAGCAAAGCTTACTAAAGCTAACCATTGATTGCTGTATATTGAAGTATAATTTGTATCTCATAATGGCCTAAATACTCTTTTCAGTTAATTAGCTAAATTATTGATTTAGAGAAAGGTTCTTGTTTTAAATAAATGTTGTTTAAAGAAGTATATGTTCTACACTAATTTAGAAATTATTGAGGATCAGGGATTAGCCAGCTCATTGGTAGAACACTTTGCTTGCATGTGCTAGTCCTTGGGTTCTATTTTAATTACTGCCAAAAAGAAAAACCTCCAACAAACCACAACAAAAATGAACAAACAAACAGAAATGAGTAAATCATACCAAAGAGTTTACCAACAAGTCTTCTACTCTCTGCTTTTTTGGAGCTCACATTGTAGGAGGGAAAAGCCATTCTTTTATGGTGATGAATATTGAGAGAGTGTTACTCTAGAATTTTATGCAGCAGAGAAACCTATTCTAAACTCGAATTCTTGACGAAGTCATCTTCTTCATGCTTTTACATTTATAACCATTGGCTAGGCATTCAATTTTATTACTTCCTTGTGTTGCCTGTTATGTGCTCAACAGTCTTAAGTTGTCCTACTCATTCTTCATTCAGTAAATGTTTCTAAAGGAGAGTGCTGCTGTCTTTCTATGCTAATAGTGTCTAAACTCCTTATCCTGACACAGCTTCCCACAACTGCATCTCAGTTTTCTTATCCATCTTAGTCTTTTATTCTTTCCATCCATCCATGAGTCACATTTTCCAGTCTAGATTATTTGCTGCTTATCGATAGATGCTTACTCTTTTGTGCCTTCTTCTGTTTTCACTTGGGTCTTTATCCATATTTGAAACTCTAGTTTTCCTTTGAGCTGTGCATAGAATATTATCTTTATAAACTGTGCCCAATAAATACTTCTTTTTCAGCTTTCACTTAAAAAAATTAATAGATTTACCCACTCTTATCCATCCATCTGTCCATCCATCCATCCGTCCATGGTCTTACCATGTAGACCAGGTTGGCCTGGAAACCAGAGGTCTGCCTCTGAGTGCTGAGTTTAAAGGTGTGCATCACCACACCCAGCTAAGAATTCAACAGACCGTTCGTTCATTCATTCATTCATTCATTCATTCATTCATTCATTCATTCATTCAGTGGAAGAACAGATACTAGAGAGTCCAGAAGAGTTTCTTGAGTACCTTGGAGCTAGGGTTCCAGGTGGTTATGAGCTGCCTGACGATTCTGGCAACCGAGCATGGATTTTTTTTACAAGAACAGCAAGCATTCTTTTAGGTTTTAAAAGGTATGTGAGTGTTTTGTTTGCATTTGTTTGTGTGCACTGTGTCATGTAGTGCCCACAGAAGCCAGAAGAAGGAATCGCCTGGTACTGGAGTTAAAGATAATTGTAAGCTGCCACATGGTTCCTGGGGATCAAACCTGGGTTTATAGAAAGAACAGCCAGTGCTCTTAATCTCCGAGTCATCTTCACAGCCCTCCTCCATGTTTTTAACCTCTG